GACTAAGATTGGAGGCCAGTCCCCACAATCACAGCCAGGAGTAACGGTGACTAAGAATGGAGGTCAGTCTCCACAATCACAGCCAGGAGTAACTGTGACTAAGATTGGAGGTCAGTCTCCACAATCACAGCCAGGAGTAACGGTGACTAAGATTGGAGGCCAGTCCCCACAATCACAACCAGGAATAACGGTGACTAAGAATGGAGGTCAGACTCCACAATCACAGCCAGGAGTAACTGTGACAAAGATTGGAGGTCAGTCTCCACAATCACAGCCAGGAGTAACGGTGACTAAGATTGGAGGTCAGTCTCCACAATCACAGCAAGGCGAAACTGTGACTGAGATTGGAGGTCAGTCTCCACAATCACAGCCAGGAGTAACTGTGACTAAGAATGGAGGTCCCACAATCACAGCCAGGAGTAACTGTGACTAAGAATGGAGGTCCCACAATCACAGCCAGGAGTAACTGTGACTAAGAATGCACGTCATTCTCCACAATCACAGCCAGGAGTAACTGTGACTAAGAATGGAGGCCAGTCTCCACAATCACAGCCAGGAGTAACTGTGACTAAGAATGGAGTGTCAGTCCTCACAATCACAGCCAGGAGTAACTGTTACTAAGAATGGAGGCCAGTCTCCACAATCACAGTCAGGAGTAAGTGTGACTAAGAATGGAGGTCAGTCTCCACAATCACAGCCAGGAGTAACTGTGACTAAGAATGGAGGCCAGTCTCTACAATCACAGCCAGGAGTAACTGTGACTAAAAATGGAGGCCAGTCTCTACAATCACAGCCAGGAGTAACTGTGACTAAGAATGGAGGCCAGTCTCCACAATCACAGCCAGGGGTAACTGTGACTAAGAATGGAGGCCAGTCTGAGGGGCAAGGAGACAGATGTCTTTCCCAGGATAAAGTGTCAAGAAGATGGATCGGCCAGGCAAGACATCGTCTCCCATCCTGGCCTAGGAACCGAAGCGCTCGCCTTCTAGGACAACGGATGCTGATCAGTGAACAATACAGACAGAATTAATCTTCATGCTACACTCTTTCTGTCTATGTTTGTCTGTCGCTTCAAGTATGAAATGCCTCTGTATGTCTGTAAGTATGAATGCCTCTGTCTGCCTGTAAGTATGAATGCCTCTGTATGTCTGTAAATATGAATGCCTCTGTATGTCTGTAAGAATGAATGCCTCTGTATGTCTGTAATTATGAATTCCCCTGTCTGTCTGTGAGTATGAATGCCTCTGTCTGTCTGTAAGTATGAATGTCACTGTCTGTTCGTAAGTATGATGCCTCTGTCTGTGAGTGTGAATGTTTTCTGTATTTCTTCAAGTATGAATGTCTCTTTCTCTGTCTACCAGTCTCTTTCTCTGTCTGCCCATCTCTTTCTCTGTCTACCCATCTCTTTCTCTCCCGCACATTAACACACACACTCTCTCTCTCTCTCTCTATCTTTCTCTCTCTCTTTCTCTCTCTCTCTCTCTCTCTCTCTCTCTCTCTCTCTCTCTCTCTCTCTCTCTCTCACACTATGTCTCTCAATTATCTGTCTTTATGTCTGTCGGTCGGTCAGTCCGTCCGTCTATCTACCTAATCTATGCAAACATCCATCAGTCTATCCATCCATCCACCTACCTACCTAACTACCTACCTAATTATCCATCCATCCATCTATCCGTCTGTCTGCCTGTCTGTTTGTCTAGCTAGCTGTCTGTACGTCTGTCTACCTGACTTTCTGTCAGTCTGTAGACTTATCATTCATTTACTGAATTTCGCAGCCAAAGTTTTCTATGAGATGCGACAGCCCTTTTCGCTGCACTCGACTGTGGGGTCAATCTTTTGTTGCCTGATCTGGTCATGAACACCCTATCACAGAAGTTACGTCACTTTGAAACTTCCTACTTCCTACTTGCTGGACTGATAGGCATGAACCACAATACTGGACCTTTGCTTGCCGAGCAATTTATAAAGGTTTCAGTTTCACAACTTAACTGGTTTTAAAAAAGTATAACAGAGAGCTGCTCCTCTGTGTGCATGTCAAACGTCGGGCGGCCATCTTTAAGTCATTATGACGTCACCACGTTCGTCGGCAGATTTTTGGGAGCTTGCCTCAGGCAGATGCACTCCGACTTCAAAGATACCATTATCTAGTCGACTCTTGCGACATGCTTCCGAGTGGGTATTGGGTCTATTCTTGTTTTTCGTACCACGGGGTCGCGGAACCCACAGGAATATTGAGCTCAGGTTTGTATTGTCTATATGCGCTGTATTCTCATCTTAAGTTCCTAGCAATTCCAATGGCACCGGTTGCAGCCTGGTTCCATGTCTGTCTTATCTTTCATCTGAGTGTTTCAAACTAAAGCATTTTTTCCCCTAGTCCATTTGTTTTCAGAATGCAGAGAGGTGTATTAGGACGCGTGCAAGGATTTATCTTCAAACTCCCGTTGTGAGTAAAAATTTGTATAGGCAACTTTTATTGCGCAGGAAACGTTATATAAGTTGT